TATGAGGGATGCAGGTTTAAGGTGAGAGGGGGAATGTTTAAAGGAGGTGTGTGAGGCAAGTTTTTTTACACAGAGGGTGTTAGGTGCCTGGAACGTGCTGCCAGGGGAGATGTTTGAAACAGGTACGATAGCAACGTTGAAGGGGCAATTAGACTGACATATGAACAGGCAGGGTATAGGGGGATACAGATCATGTGCAGGCAGGTGAGAATGAGTTAGAATGGCATCATGGTCAGCACAGAAATGATGAACTGAAGGGCCTGTACGTGTACTGTCCTGTTTTTCATGTTTTATATGAAATTATTTCTCAGCAGCCTGTGGGTTTGTGTTGTACCATAGGGTGGGACTTGATCCTGGACCTTGTGGTCTACAGTTAGAGACACTGCCAGTGAGCCACAGGACCCTGATCCTGACATTGTTTACGTGTCTCAAGGGCAGCAGCTTCTCTCAAACAAGACATTTGTGTTGCTGTTCATTACAAGACAGTTGTTGATAATTTATGAATACACAGCGTGTTAAGGTGACATGGGAAGTGAAAGCATAGTCACAAATCCAATTAGGAATTGTGAAGGTGCAGGTTTGGATGAACACAGCAGGCCAAGTAGCATCATAGGAGCAGAGAGGCTGATGTTTCGGGCCTAGACCCTTTTCTGATGAAGGGTCTAGGCCCGAAACGTCAGCCTCTCTGCTCCTATGATGCTACTTGGCCTGCTGTGTTCATCCAGCCCGGCACCTTGTTGTCTCGGATTCTCCAGCATCTGCAGTTCCTACTATCTGTAGGAATTGTGAAGAAACTCTTTCCCAAGAGAGACGGTTGAGGAAGTGGAACCCATTATTCCAGGGAGTGCTTGTTGTGAACAGCACAGGATCACTTCAGGGGAAGTTGGAAAAGTAAATAAAGGGGAAGAATGGACAGTTATGCTGCTATGCAGAAGGATGGTCACAAGGTCAAGTACAGCATAAACACCAGAATTGATTCATTGGGCCGAATGGCTTGTCTCTGGGTCTATTCTTTAATATAATTCAATGAGCTCATGCACACACAATGCTCACTTGAAAGGTGCTTCTTTATTCTTGTATTTCAAGTCCCCTTGTCATGAAAGACTCTCTGAGAAAAACATCGTTTTGACTGAGAAATTTCTGTTGTATGGATTAGCAGGCCAAGGCAGGGCAGAGGAAGTGGGTTTAATCTGTATGAAAAACATTTGTGTCTGACAAGGCCATTGTTTGAATGGTCTGTTTACACTGTGGAGCTATTTGGTAGATCCATTGAATCATAAGGAAGCCATTGATGGAACAGTCTGCACCTGAACCAGAATGGATCAATATCCTCATGGGTGGATTTGCTCGTGCTTGGGAGGAATTTAAAGTAGTCCCTAGGGAGAGGGGACACAGTGTGTTAGAACCTAGGGACACAGCGTACTTTAGTGAAGGAACTAAGGCAGATCAAGTTCAGCCATGTTGAGTTTCGAGGGATGAGGTAAGGCTGGACGGCCTGTACGCTTATGCCCTGAGTATAATGGGTAAGACAGATGGGTTAAGGGCGTGGATTGACACCTGGAATCGGATGTTGTTGCCATCACAGGTACATTGTTGAGGGAGGGGCAAGACTGGCAACTCAACTTTCTGGGCTACAGGATCTTCAGGCAGGTCAGGGGAGTGTGTCAAAGAGAAGGTGGTGCTGTGTTATTTCTCAAGGAGCCCATTCCCACTTTAAGGAGGGATGATATCTTAGGACGGTCTGCAAATGAGTCTTTGTGGGTAGAATTTAGCAATAAACAGGGTGTAGTCACATGCTGGGAGTATATTGTCAGTGCCCAACAGTCAGTGGGCAATAGAGGAGCAGATATGTCCTCAATTCACTGAAGTATGTAATAAAAGAGCATTTATGTGAGGGAACTTCAAATTCCTCAAAATTAATTAGGATAATAATAATGTAAAAGGTATAGAGAAGCAGATTTCTTAAAATGTGCAGGAGAGCTTTTAGTAGTGACATGTAAAAGTCCACCATTGAAAGGTGCAGTGCTGGACCTAAATCAGGGTAACGAAGCTGGATAGATGTTTGAGGTGTGGGGACCATTTTCATGAGAGTGGCAACAACATCATATGTTTTCAGTTTGTTCTGGGAAAGAAAGATGATGATCTACAAATAACACCGTGTGCAGTTGAAGGAACACAGCAGGCCAGGCAGCATCGGAGGAGCAGGAAAATTGACATTTTGGTTCAGGAGCCTTCTTCAGAAATGGGGGAGGTGAAAGGGAGCTCTGAAATAAAGAGATAGAGGAGGGGCTAGGGAAGGTAGGTGGAATGGTGACTGGTGAGTGCAGGTAGCCAGTGGTGGGGATTGGTCAGAGAGGTGGGAGGACCGGATAGATGGGAGAGAAGATAGGCGGGTTGTGTTGGGTTGTGTCAGGTCAAGGAGGTGGGGATGGGAGGGAGGGTTGGTCATGGGATGAGGCCAAGGGTGGGGAGATTTTGTAACTGGTAAAGTCCACACTAAGACCATTGGGTTGTAGGCTCTCAAGGCGGAATATGAGGTGCTGCTCCTCCAGTTTCTGAGTGGCGTGATTGTAACACTGGAGGAGGCCCAGGATGGACATGTCGCCCAGGGAGTGGGAGGGGGAGTTGAAATAGTTCGTGACTGGAAGGTGTTGTCATTTGTACCAGCCTTCACCACTTCCTGGGCCACTCATTCCATACTCGCACCACCTCTGCATGAAAAAGTTGCCCCCTTGATCCATTTTAAATCTTTCCCTTCTCACCTTCAACCTAAGCCCTCTAGTTTTGAACTTTCCTACCCTGTAAAAAAGACTTTGGCAATTTACTCAATCCATGCCCCTCATGATTTTATAAAACTCTATGAAGTCACCCCTCAGCCTCTGACACTCCAGAGAAAATAATCCTAGACTATTCAGCCTCTCCCCGTTGATCAAACCATCCAACTCTGGTAACATCCTTTAAATTTTTTCTACACCCTTTCAAGTTTCACAACGTCCTTCCTATCACAGGGAGACCATAACTGCACTCAGCATTCCAATAGTGGACTAATCAAGATCCTGTACAGACACAATATGACCTCCCAACTCCTATATTCAATGCGCTGACCAATAAAGGCAAGCATACCAAATGTCTTCTTAACTACCCTGTCCACCTGCAACTCTACATTCAAGGAACTGTGAGCCTGCACTCCAAGGTCTCTTCATTCAGCAACACTCCCCAGAACTTTACCATTAAGTGTATATGTTCTGCCCTGATTTGCCTTTCCAAAATGTAGCACCTCACATTTATCTAAATTAAACACCATCCGCGTCTCCTCGCTCCATTGGCCCATCTTATCAAGATCTTATTGTACTCTGCAGTAACCTTGTTTGCTGTCCACTACACCTCCAATTTTGGTGTCATCTGCAAACTTACTAACAATACCTCCTACGTTCACATCCAAATCTTTTATATAAATGACAAAAAGCAGTGGACCCAGCACCGATCTTTGTGGCACACCGCTACTCACAGGCCTCCAGTCTCAAAACCCTCCACCACCACCCTGTCTTCTACCTTCGAGCCAGCTCTGTATCCAAATAGCTAGTTCTCTGTGTATTCCATGTGATCTAACCTTGCTAATCAGTCTAGCTGTTGAACACTGTGCACCTCACATTGACCCATGCAGTACACCACAAAGTACAATCTGTCTTCCTTTGAGTGACCCTTTTATTCTGATTCTCTGCTTTCAATTACCCACATTATATTTTATCTGCCACATATTTGCCCACTCACTCAGCCTGTCCATATAACACTGGATCTCTACATTCTCCTCACAAGGTACCCTCCCACCCAGCTTTGTGTCATTTGCAAACTTGGAGATATTACGTTCAGTTACCTTTTTCCAAATCATTAATAGATATTGTGAATAGCTGGGATCCAAGAACTGATACCTCCAGTATTCCACTAGTCATGGCCTGCTATTCAGAAAAAGGCCATGTTTATTCTGACTGTTTGTTACCTGTTTGCCAACCTGTTCTCAATCCATTTTAGTGCACTATCCATAATCTCACGGGCTTTAATTTTTCATGTTAATCTCTTCTGTGGTTCCTTCTCGAAAGCCTTCTGAATGTAACCTTAAATTAACAGCAAAAAAACCCCAAATTTGATTGAAATTAAAAGAAAGCAACTCATTGAATTCTGGGATAGCAACAATTACAGATGCTGGAGTCAGAGATAGCACAGTGTGGAGCTGGAGGAACACAGCAGGCCAGGCAGCTAGCTGGAGGAACACCTCCACAATGTATTATGTTTGACAGCTGCCTGGCCTGCTGTGTTCTTCCAGCTCCACACTGTTTTATCACAAATTCTGGGTCCACATTGATGCAGCTGAACTGTGTTTCCCTGTCTTTTTTTGTTCCTTTTCTGCCCTTAACAGCCATGTCTTGTCTGTCTTGTGTGACTGCCTTCACATGGAAGAGAAGAAATTCAGACAGGGCAGTATCAGTTAGAAATTGCGTTTCCATTCTGCATTTAGTTAAAACAAACAGTTTACAATAAGTTTAAGTTTATCTTGTTCAGTTCAGTAACCTGATGTGTGCTACCATTTATCCTGAGTTTCTCAGTCAGGTAAACTGGACCTTTGGATTGTTTGACTAAATCTTTCCCCAATGGGACAACTCCTAGAATAGTGTGCTTGATTTCCACAGAGTCATGACAATGTTGAATTTTAAATAACACATGTTGTAATTATAATTTTAATGTGTCTGTAAATAATCTGGGATTAGGATCCATTGTTATGACAATTACTGCAGTGATTGTAACCACCGCTGTATAATTTTCAGGGTAAATTCACTGAGAACAAATCATGATCAACAAATATTATCAGATTCACTTAATGGAAAATTCACTCGGTAATGTCTGTCTACTAAAGGGTTAAAAAGAAGTTAAGAAAAAACATTGAAAAACAAGAAAAATGAAACAAGGAACGTATTCAAACTGCAATCCCCCATCAGAAACTAGAGAACTGCGCTGAACTTCCTCTTTACTGACACTTTAAGTTCTTTAACTCCTGAGAAATGAGATAGGAAAGAAGCTGTAGTTGGCTGGGACGCTTTGTGTTTTGATGTATTAACTGGACGTATAATAAACAGTGTGAATAAATAGCGTTGTTGCACTGTTGAGATGATCAGTGGAACTCTATTTGCTGTGGCCCTGTCTCTCTGTGTTGCTTGAGGTAAGTGTTTGCTTTGGAGAAGTTTAACATGTTATAAAAGGCCTTTCCATGGTTTGTGCTGCTGTGGAGTTTGTTTGAATTCTCTCAGTTTGAACATTCAGAACTGGGGGCGAGTGTCACAGGGAAAATTTGTCACTGTCTGGAGATTATTTGGTGCAGCTGACACAGAGCTCCATAGACTGGAAAACTGAGTGTTCATCCCATCCTTTTCTGTCATTCATTGAATGGGACAATGGGATTGAGGGACAGCCTGCACATTAAGGTTTGTACTTGGTGTGGATTGGATTAGTCTGTATGTTCACTGGGTCTCGCTGGGGTGGATTTGAAAGACATTCTCCTGTTTTAACAAAGTTGGTGAATTTACAGCTTTGTGATTCAGAGTGAGTTTCTTCAATGGAGCCATGCTGACACTCAAACCAATTCTCTATTCTCAAGCTGCCCCCTCACACTCACTGAAAGTGTAGAAGGTCCCCTGTGTTGCCAACCATTTCCCAGCTGTTTAATGGACAGACAATAATGTGGAACAAACTGGGGATTTCACCATCTACAGACCAAAGAGAGAGACTGCCTGCAGATGTGGCTGAAATGGGGGTTGCCTTTTCTGAACAACAGCTGCAAACTGAGCACAGGAAACAGAAAAGTGGAAGCAACATTTACTACACAAGGGGGAATTTCACTGTTCCCACAATCACAGAAATGTTCTGATGAAGAAGGAAGCCATTGAGTCCACCGTATCTGCACTGGCTCTCTGAGCACTTTAACTCAGTTCCAATCACTTGCCTTTTCCCCATCATCCTGCACATTGTTTCTGTTCAAATAACCACCCAATACCCTGTTAAATGCCTCAACTGGGCCTGAAGACCAGAAGACATAAGAGCAGACTTAGGCCATTTTGCCAATCGAATCAATTCTGTCATGTAATAAGATCATGGCTGCGCTGATAATCCCCATCCCTACTTTCCTGCCTTTTCCCCATAATTTTGGATTCCATTACTGATTAAAAATCTGTCTCTCAAACTCTAAATACTTCATGACTCAGCATTGACAGCCCTCTGTGGTAAAGAATTCCACAGATTAACATCTTCTGTGAGATGAAATTCTTCCCCAACCCCATCTTAAATCAGAGACCCATTCCTCTGGGATTTTGTCCTCTGGGATTTTGTCCTCTGGTCCCAGTATCTCCTACAAGGGGAATCAACCTCCTCTCGGTATTCACCATGTCAAGACCAAAAGAAATTATGATGTTTCAAACATTCTTTTCACAAATTTATAAGAGTTTTTTGAGAAAGTCTCAACCAGAGTGGATCAAGGGGAATGAGTAAATGTGTTGTGTTTGGACTTCCAGAAGGCTTTTGATGAGGTATCTCACAAAAGGTTGAGTCATGAGGTAGGAGCCCATGATGTTGGAGGGAATATATTGGTGTGGATAGAGAATTGGCTTATGGGCAGGAAACAGTGAGTGGGGATAAGGGGTTCTTTTTCAGGTTGGCGAACTGTGACCAGTAGGGTTCCACGGAGATCAATAGTGGGACCACAACTGTTTACAATATGTATTAATGACTGGGAGGAAGGAAGTAAATGTACTGTAGAAATAGTTCCAAATGACAGGAAAATAGGTGAAAGTCAGTTTGTGAGAGGGATACAAACAGTTTACTTAGAGATATTGATAATTTAAGAAAGTGAGCAAAGAGCTGGCAAATGGACTTTCATGTAGGAAAATATGAAGTTGTTTATTTTGGAAGGGAGAATAAAAGAACAGAATATTATTCAAATAGTGCAAAATTGCAACATAAAGGGACATTGGGTCTCTTGTGCACGAAAGACAGACAGCTAGCACACACGGGCAGCAGTTAATCAGGAAGGCAAATGGAATGTTGGCCCTTAATTTCAAGGAAGTTGTAGTTTAAGAGTAGGGAAGTCTTATTGCAACTGTACAAAGGCTGGTGAGACCAAAGGTGTAGGCGATGACCTAGTGGTATTATCGCTAGACTATTAACCCAACTAATGTTCTGGGGGCCTGGGTTCAAATCGCAATACGGCAGATGGTGGAATTTGAATTCAATAATTAAAAAAAAGGTCTGGAGTTAAGAATCTACTGATCACCATGAAATCATTGTTGATTGTCGGAAAAACCCATCTGGTTCACTAATGTCCTTCAGGGAAGGAAACCTGCCACCTTCACCTGGTCTGGCCTACGTGTGAATTCAGACCCACAGCAATGTGGTTGACTCTCAATTGCTCTCTGAAATGGCCTAGCAAGCCACTCAGTTGTATCAATTGCAACAAAGATTCAAAGAAATGAAACTGGATGGATCACCTGGCAGTGACCTAGGCACTGGAATAAGCAATGGCAGAAACAGCCTGTCGACCCTGCAAAGTCCTCCTCACTAACAGCTGGCGGTTAGTGCCAAAATTGGGAGACCTGTCTCACAGACTAGTTAAGCATCAGGCTAAAGTAGTCATATTCACAGAATTACAGCTTACAGACAATGTCCCAGACACCACCATCACCATCCCTGGATATGTCCTGTCTCACCAGCAGGACAGACCCAGCAGAGGGGGCGGCACAGTCATCTACAGTCAGGAGGGTGTTGCTCTAGGAGTCCTCAACATTGAGTCCAGACCCCATGAAGTCTCATGGCTTCAGGTTAAACACAGGCAAGGAAAACTCCTGCTGAGTACCACGTACTGTCCTCCTTCAGCTGATGAATCCACACTCCTCAATATTGAACAACACTTAGAGGAAGCACTGAGGATGGCAAGGACAAAAAATGTACTCTGAGTGGGGGATTTCAATGTCCACCACCAAGACTGGCTCGGCAGCAGTACTACTGATCGAGCTGGTCGGGTCCTAAAGGACATAGCTTCTAGACTAGGGCTGCAGCAGGTGGTGAGGGAACCAACAAGAGGGAAAAACTTACTTGACTGCATCCTTACCAATCTGCCTGCTGCAGTTGCATCTGTCCATGACAGTATCGGTAAGACTGACCATCGCACAGTCCTTGTGGAGGTAAGTCCCACCTTCACATTGAGAATACCATTCATCGTGTTGTGTGGGACTATCACCGTGCTAAATGGGACAGACTTCGCACAGATCTAGTAACTCAAGACTGGGCATCCATGAGGCGCTGTGGGCCATCAACAGCAGCAGAATTGTACTCCAGCACAATCTCTAACCTCATGGCCCGGCATATCCCCCACTCAACCATTACCATCAAGGGATCAACCCTGGTTCAATGGAGAGTGCAGGAGGGAATGCCAGGAGCAGCACCAGGCATACCTGAAGATGAAGTATCAACCTGGTGAAGCCACCAAACAGAACTACTTGCATGCCAAACAGCGAAAGCAGGAAGTGATAGAAAGAGCTAAGCAATCCCACAACCAACGGATCAGATTTAAGCTCTGCAGTCCTGTCATATCCAGTCGTAAATGGTGGTAGACAGTTGAACAACTCACGGGAGGAGGAAGCTCCATAAATATCCCCATCCTCAATGATGGAAGAGCTCAGCACATCAGTGCAAAAGATAAGGCTGCAGTATTCACAGCAATCTTCATCCAGAAGTGACAAGTGGATGATACATCACGGCTTCCTTCAGTGGTCTCCAGCATTACAGATACCAGTCTTCAACCAATTCGATTCACTCCATGTGATATAAAGAAATGATTGGAGACACTGGATACTGCAAAGGCTATGGGCCCTGACAACATTCTGGCAGTAGCACTGAAGACTTGTGCTCCAGAACTTGCCGCCCCCCATCCCGAGGCAAGCTGTTCCAGTACAGTTACAACACTGGTATCTACCCGACAATGTGGAAAATTGCCCAAGTATGTCCTGTACACAATAAGTAGGACAAATCCAACCCAGCCAATTATCGCCCCATCAGTCTGCTTTCAATCATCTGTAAAGTGATGGAAGGTGTCATCAACAGCGCTATCCAGCAGCACCTACTCAGAAATAACCTGCTCAGTGACGCCCAGTTTGGGTTCCACCAGGGCCACTCAGCTCCTGACCTCATTCCTACTTTGGTTCACACATGGATAAAAGAGCTGAATTCCAGCGATGAGGTGAGAGTGACAGCCCTTGATATCAAAGCTGCATTCAACCGAGTGTGGCATCAAGGATCCCTGGCAAAACTGGAATCAATGGGTATCAAAGGACAAACTCGGAGTCATACCTGACACATAGGAAGATGGTCATGGTTGTTGGAGGTCAATCATCTCAGCTCCAGGACATCTCTACAGGAGTTCCTCAGGATAGTGTCCTAAGCCCAACCATCTTCAGCTGCTTCATCAATGACCTCCCTCTAACATATGTTCAGAAGTGGGGATATTCGCCAATGATTGCACAATATTCAGCACCATTCATGACTCCTCAGATACTGAAGCAGTCCATGTTCAAATGCAACAAGATCTGGACAATATCCAGACTTGGGCTGACAAGTGGCAAGTGACATTTGTGGCACACAAATGCCAGGCTATGACCATCACCAGTAAGAGACAATCTAACCACTGTCCCTTGACATTCAATGGTGTCACTGAAACCACCCCCACTATCAACATCCTAGGTGTTATCATTGACCAAAGACTCAACTGGACCATCATATAAACACAGTGGCTTCAAGAGCAGGCCAGAAGCTAGGAATACTGTGGCAAGTAACTCACCTCCTGACTTCTCAAAGCCTGTCCACCATCTACAAGGCACAAGTCACGAGTGTCATGGAATACTCTCCACTTGCCTGGGTGAGTGCAGCCCCAACAACACTCAAGAAGCTTGACATCATCCCTGACAAAGCAGCCAACTTGATTGGCACTACATCCACAAGCATCCACTCTATCCACCACCGACGCTCAGTAGCAGCAGTGTGTACTATCTACAAGATGCACTGCAGAAATTCACCAAAGATCCTCAGACAGCACCTTCCAAACTCACAACCAATTCCATCCAGAAGGGCAAAGGCAGTGGACATATGGGAAGACCACCACCTCCAAGTTACCCTCCA